GAATAGAATAGAATAGAATAGAATAGAATAGAATAGAATAGAATAGAATAGAATAGAATAGAATAGAATAGAATAGAATAGAACAGAATAGAATAGAATAGAACAGAATAGGCTATTTTACCTCCAAAGCCAGGTCTCATGGCAAAATCATGGTTTTCTATATGGAGAAGTTGTTCTGATTTCACAGGTGGTACTTTAGTGCTGTCTAGTTTCCTTGCCTTAAATTGTTGTTTGCTGCATTATAAATAAATAAACATCCGGACATATACTATTCATATTATATATTATATATCCGCCAGCAATTATTAGATCACTCTAGTTTCTTGTATAAAGAAGTCAAAAGATTTTAACCATACAAGCAAAATATGGAGAGATAATCCAACCCTGGTTTTAGTCCAATCCACATATTAATGCATGAACAAGCCAACTCTGAGAAGTCATCAATTTATGAAGGCAGTTGGAACCAAAGTTTTTTTTTTGCCAAAGATCATTAGGTGAGGCAACTTCCTGCCAAATTCCCACAACCGCTGGGGAGGTTGACAAGAACTTGTAAGTCACAGGAACTCACAAGCAGGCCAGTAGGAAGATAAGTGGCTGTTGGGTGGGTGATGTGTGGGGGTATTCGAGAGCATGAGAGATGCATGGCAAGGATTTGAGACAATGTATGAGGGTACCCAAGGCATGTGAGGGTGCAAGAGAAGTATGGCAAGGCTACAGGAGGATGTGCAAATAGCAATAACACTTTGATTTATATACTGTCCTATAGTGCTTTACACACTCTCTGGGTTGTTTAAAATGTCAGCCTATTGCCCCCAACAATCTGGGTCCTCATTTTACCGGCCTTGGAAGGATGAGTTCAATCGTGAGCTCCATCAGGATCGAACTCCAGGCTGTTGGCAGAGTTAGCCTGCAATACTGCATTCTAACCACTGTACCAATAGGGCTCCTAAGGTTCATGAAGGATGGAAGGGAGACATGATGAGACTTGGGGAGAGTATGAAAGAGCACACAAGGAGTTGGCAAGAGCTGAAGGAAGATGCATGGGTAGGAGATGCTTACCTCAGCAACTTGCAACTTCCCTGCCAGCTTTCCCATTGACTTCCTGGAAATCATGATCATGGGGCACTGCAACCAGTTGTGTGAGGGATGAGCACAACTCTGAGGATCAGTTATAAGCACTATTTCTTCAGTGTCATGATAACACTGAATAGTGGCTAACTGAATAGTCAGAAGGTAAGGATTATCTCCCCTTTGTCAAGTACACTCCATTTAATCATTACAACTCTTCAGGCCCCCTTTCACTTTCTGTCCCAGCTACTTTTCTTTTCCTTTCCTTCCTAACACCTGCCTGGAGTACTGCAAGATTTCTTTCCTTTTCCTTTTTCCTTTTTCCTTTCATTTTCAATTTGTAATATAAAAACATTGCTACTTTGTTTTGTTTTTGTTTGAAGGTGAATTATCACTTCTTCCCTGCTACAAAGTTTATTTTGGCTTACAGGGCACTATAGGAACAGTAGGATTACCTGTTTCCTGCTGTTTTGTTAGTGGACTGAAATTTCTGAAGTTAGCTTAAGAAACAGCTGGAAGCAAAATGGGAAACAAGCAGCTTAAGTTTGTGGGGATTGTCAGTGAGGGTTGCCTTGGAAAGCTTGGAATTCTGGAAGTTAAAAGCCACACATTTTAAGATTGTAAAAGTTGAGAAAAACTGTCTTAGAGTGTACTGCAGTTATTTATAATAGTGAAACTGTGTTTTGAAATCAAGTTTCCAAATTATGGTTTCATATATGGACTTGGTGGGAAAATGTTTACTATAGCAAGGCAAAATGTCCAATAATCTTATATTAAAATTTTAAAAAAGATTGTAGAAAATCAGGTTTAAGAAACTCTCTCATCCTTTTTTAAAAAAAAATCCAGTTAACATTCGGATAATCTAAAAACTGAAATGGCTGTTTTCAGTCTACAAAATGGAGAATACACAACAAACAAGAATTAAAACAAGTAGTTAAATAGTTTGTGAATTATGTTGTATCATAGAAAGTAGATTTGTAACAAAACTTTCTGTTCCTTTTAATGAAGTTTAAATCCATATAAAAGTTAATTTCTATTTAGATAAAAGGATACTAAATTTATGTATGTATGTATGTGTGTATGTTTGCTTTAACTGTAATTAATTCTAGCCATAATTGGCTTATTTTTCTTGAGAAAGCTGGTATGTTACTTTCGTAAGCATCAGTTGCATGGAATTAATTTATAACAGCAACTCGCTGGACAATTGTTGGCTTTATTTATTTATTTTATCATAAAAAATAGCATCACCTTTGAACTGGATTTGGTTCCTTGTTAATTCAGAGGATTATTATTATGTAGGTTTTTTTGGCAACAGTGCAACACTGACTTCATATTGCCCTCTTCTAGTGTGTTGATACTTATTTCCTACTGAAGAATACAGCACTAGCAATTTTCTATCTAAATATGTTCCAGGTCAAATCCCATTGCATTTCTAAGTGCAAATAAGGTCAGTCATACTGTCGCCATTCCATAAGACTCTATTTATAGACTAGCTGGATAAATAATAATCTCAACATAAAAATAACAGCGGCAGCATTAGCTCTCTGTCTCTTTAAGTGATCAACCCATTGGTCAGACTTCCATTTTCCATAATTAATGTGGAGTCCTGGGTAGATTCTGGGAATTAAGAGTATCCACAGGGGTGGTAGGCAAAATGAAGATGGCAATCATGATGTTTTTAGTTCTGCCTTTTTATGGCTGTCACACATACACAGAACTTCAGTTGAACTATCATGCTGCGATCTTGCCTTTCTTTTTTCCGCACTCTGCAAATACCCTTGCTTGACATTTTACTCATAATCTCCTGTTCCAGGCTTTGGATTCTTGTTGCATTCTTCTCATTTTAAAGACTTATAAATAAGTCTTGGTCGAGGGTTTGGTGAAATTAAATGAATTAAATGCTAAATTTAAATGAAACCTAATCCCTGATCAGTGGCTAGTTTACTTTTTCCCCCTTACTATGGAACTGCAAATAACTTGTAGTGGCAAAATGCTAACTATGACTTCTGCATTTTTGTCAAAATAAGAATATATATAAAAGGACCTATTTTTACTTAAAATGAGGGAACTGATCCAGATAACTACAGATATACCAAAGCATGTAAGACATGTGTTTTTCTGCTAAAGAGCTAAGGGTGACAACATTTCATCTCTATTCTCCAGTCCCTCACACTGAGTAGATCAGAAGCTATGTACAAAGTAATCTTATACAATGTTAAACTCTAGGTCTCTGCATTCAAACACGACTCTTCCCAATCCCATACAGAACTTTTGAAATGCAAAGCTCTACAGGAATTTGCCTGACTTCTTTTGTTCTCCAATCTGCAGCATTTTGATGGATGATCTATTCTAGAGAATTAGAGACAGGGGCAATCTGTATATAGAAGCCTAAATCTGAAAGTCAACTCTGTTCTTTGGATTGTGACTCAAAGTAGCAATGCTTAAGAATTTAAAACTTAGATTTTGATATTAGAGAATACTCTCTTCTCCCTACCATATTTTGGTAGGGCCAATAATGTACAGCTTCCAATTGTCTGAGTCTTAAAATACAGCATTAAACTTCATGAACTCAAATAGAAATTGAATAGCTAGTTAAAAAGCTTCTCTTTATATATGGTAATTAAATAATTCCACCAAATTAAAGCCAATGTAACGGAATAACAAATACAAGCCTTCAATTTCATGAGTTTAAAAGAACATCAGTTGTGATGCTTGCTGGCTATCTCACTCACCTGTTATGTCTTTTCATGAATGACCTTTGAGGATGTTGGTGGCTATAGCAATGATTATGATGATCGCTGTTATAGGCTAAAACAGAAGTAGGCCAAATAAAGGTGAACAGCAGCAGTTTTAATGCAAGGACCATGTCTTCCAATCCACAAAAATCAATTTGTATCAGTCATCTTTCATTCCAGTAGTCTGCTTATTAAGAAATAGTCTACTCATGTGATGAAAAGGATGCAAATAATATGAGGCATTGCAAATTCAAAGAAAAAACATTCCACTTTTCTTTATCTGAAGTTTCTTCTTATTTCTGCAGTCTTCAGCTTTCACATCCTATGGTTTACCTCTCCTGCTGTTGCAGTTTTACTTTTAGAAATACATTAAATAATATTGTCTATCTTGTTTATTCACTGTTTCATCCATTATTTTTCTGTCTGTGGGAGCATTTCCAACCCAAAGCCTTAATGCTCACTCAGTATACTGTGTGATAAAACATTGACACAGACAAAAGAATGATGTCATATTTAATCTTCTTAATCCTCCACATTACTGTTTTTTTAAAATAAGAAAAAACTTTCCTTTCCCCATGAAAATCTGTGTTTAATAAAGAAAGGTTAGGCAAATGAACTTACTACATATGCAGAAAATAATTCAGAACACTGGGCTTATTTATGTGTACAAATTAGCTGTATGAAAAGTTTGTTTGAAATAGAATTTTTGTAGATTTTAATGAAAACCTAGTATCACAGTATCCTAATGAAAGCAAGTTAAAGCATATTCCCATGGTATTAGTTGATCGAGGCACTTAAGATTCTTACATAAAATACTATCAACTTGAAAAGGTATTGCAGCAAGTTTCAGTGAAAATATTTGTATTTGTATTTCCAAATGAGATTGGCCTTTCCACATTTGTACCGAACTATGGCATAGCATTTTTTTCTGTCTAACCCCAATAAGTTGCTTTCATCTATTCCCCAAAGCATTCTGGTTTGGCAAGCTAATGTGGAATAATAGTGGAATAATAGTTGCAATGCCTGTCTTTTAGAATAGGAGTCCCCAACCCCAGGGTACTGAGCCATGGAAGTGTTGGGTGAATGTGCAAAGCTTCATTTGCCCATGCGCAGGATCTATGTTGTGCATGTAAAACCATCCCTTCACACACACACACACACACACACACACACACACACACAGAGAGAGAGAGTCTCTCTCTCTCTCTCCCTCCCTCCCTCCCTCTCTCTCTCTCTCTCCTGGTCCATGGAGCCAGAAAGGTTGGGGACCACTGTTCTAGAAGATTAGATTTTTCTGATGATACAAAATCAATACAAAAAAGGCTGTACATTCTTATCAAATGTATGTGTGTCCACAATTGTTTCTCATTTGGGACAAATCTCTCTAGGCACTTGTGATAAAACTTTGTTTACCATCAGATTAGACTAGAAGATAGTCAGATTGTGTCAAAGTAGATCAATATTAACTGAAGCTAAATAGATAACTCTCTCTATCCTGGACTGCAATGATCCAACCAAATTGCAATTATATTGAATTCTGAGTTGTGTTTTAACTTTCTTAGCCCATCAGTATCATAAGTTTAACTGTCATATATATTATATGTGGGAATCCAGTAAAGATAACAAGTATTTATTTCAAACACTGAAAGATAACTTATGTCTGTTCATTTGTACAGAAAGGTGATAGATGCTCTCTAGAGTGATTCTAACCATCAAAATAGCTGTACGCCAAATTAAATTTGAAGAGGTTGTTACTTTGTGTCGTGACTACGCAACACATGCATTTGCATCGAAGCCACAGCTACCTGAAGGATGGCATTCCTCTTCATCAGAATAAACTCTGTATCATAATTATATATGTGCGGTCTATGTAAAATGCTGTGAGGTGAAACTCTATGCATTAACCACGATTCATGTGATTGAGTTCATACAAATAATTATCATTAAAAATGGTAATCATGGGTAATAAGGGTAATCGGGGTAATGAAGGGCAATGAGGGGAAATCATTATAAATATCGAAACTCGGGTTAGATCCAACTTTATTTCGTTTGCTTAGCTATTATCTCAGACTCCTTGCGGAGGAAGGAATAAACAATAAGCTTTTGTGTTACGAAATACTGAAGTGAAGAGTGTCTTATTTTCTCCCTGCATTTGTGCCAAAGAGTAGCTGAGAGGAAAGTTGGATCTCTTACATCCTATAATATTTCATTACCTGTGATATTATGGCTGAAAGTATTGCTGTTGATGGAGGTTTTGAGGATGTTTCGGAGGTGGATGTGGATAATGTTGGAGGGGCTGGCGTGGTGCCTGAGCAGCCCTCAATTCAGTTGGACGATAATGTGGTGTCTTTGGAAAGTGAACAAACAGATAATGCGAGATGTGAAGAGGATCCTAAGCCTGTGGTAAGGCCGAAAATCCAGAAGGAACGGAAAGCAGGATTGGAATTGAGAGATGATATGAGGGGAAAGGTTTCACAAGGGAAACCTCCTACTTTTATGCCACTGACCTCCGGGACATTTGAGAAGTGGAGAGAACGACGGATTGCTGATGAAGATGAATGTAGTACTTCTACGACCAGTTTAAATGCTAGTACGTTGGAACGTCAAGTATGGTGACTTAAGCATTCATGACTCCCCCGACCATTTCGGAAAGTCCAGGGAGGGGATTTAGAATGGAAGACACATCTTTCTTTAGTTCAAGTGCCAGAGATAGCAGGGAGATGAGTAGGAGGAAGTCAGAGGGACCATTTTCTATGGAAGTAGATGAATCATTAGCAGATGTAATAGGAGTATCAGGAACTTGGAGTAAAACCTCTAAACCAGTCCCAGGTTCCAGGGTTGAATTTAGGGATGCACAAATGGGGAATAGACAAACAATTCACTCCTGGGGTCCATCAGGCAGGTCTGGATATTGGCCCCAAAGAATGGTTTGGGGTGGTCCTCCTCCTATAAACACTTCCTTTGATGGGAACCCTGATAGGTTAGCATTATTTTTAAGCCAAATTGTGAACCACTTAGAATTATATTCAAATTGTGATCCTTCTCAATGGTCTATTATAGTTGCGTTAACAGGTGATGCTGCCGATTGGGCTGCAGAGTTACATAGTGTGCATGCAAAGGAATTGATTGATGTTGGTTTGTTTTTGGATGCACTCAAAGTTCAATTTGAAGATAGGTCAAGAATACATAAATATGAAGAAGCATTAATGTCACTGAAGCAGGATGGGAGGCCTGCTGTGGAGTATGTCAGAGAATTTTAGAAATTAGCAATTAGGTTGCACACCTGGCCAGAAAGACTATTGATTAGAAAATTTAGATCTGGTTTGGATAGAGGATTGAGGCAGGCTTGTCTTTATAGGGGGGTTCCCCAGAAACTGGGGGAATGGTATAAAACAGTTGTGGAGTTGGATGTGGGACTGAGGGAGTTCCGTCCTACGTTTGGAGAGCCCAAAAGACAACCAGTAGGAGCAGTAGCACCATGGGGTAAAGTGGGGGAGGAGACTAAAAGGATTGGTAGGGGAATAGGGTCCATGAGGTGTTTCCGATGCCAAGGTCTGGGACATAGGGCAATGGAGTGTCCATCTATCGAACCCAATGATAGAAAACAGGTGGCTCACATTCCTAGCACCACAAGTAGCAATTTACCAGGTGGTATCATGCCCCGTGGTACAAAACAAGGGACAATTACATCTGAAAGATCTCAAGGGGTGTCACAAAAAACAAACACGGAAGTAATAACAAATAGACATGAGAGGAAAACACCTGATGGCAAACAACTACCCAAGGTAGTCTTGGGGTCATACGATAGTGGAGATGACAGTCCGGATGAGGATGATTTGGTGAGTAATCCTGTGTGACCATTTGTTATACCAGTAGTATTAGAAAATCTAACAAGTAAATTGATGGGTCAGTATAAGACATAAGACATAAGAATTTATTTGTCATTACACTCGCAAGCGGGTGCAACAAAATGAGGTGCTCTTCCACAAGTAAAACTGGACAAACACCACTAAAAAAGAAAAAAAATTAAACTAAACACAACCAACCATACAATAATCTCTATACAATTTAAAAATGTAAATACAGTATGGAGCATTAATCAACACTGGATGTACTAGATGTTTAATTAGTAAAAAAGTGGTCAATGAATTACAGTTAGCAGTGGAAGAACTGCCCAAACCTATGCGTTTTGAACAAGTGGATGGTTCATTATTAGGTGAGAGTACTGCTACAATAATGATAATCCCTATCAAACTAGAGATAGGGAGTCATTGGGAGTCTTTACGATTTATTGTAGTACCACAGAAGAGGGAGACACTAATTTTAGGTCTAGTATGGTTAGACAAATGGAAGCCCACGATATGGTGGGAAGACGGTTTTAGGAAATTACGAATTGCAGTTGGCCCTATGTCCCCTCCATATGTAAATAATAGGGAAGTTGTAACAGCTATAGATGATTCTGAAGAACTACGTTATCCAGAGGAATATAAAGACCTAGCAGATGTGTTTAGCAAAAAAGACTGTGAAATATTACCACCACACAGAACAACTGATTGCGCAATTGATTTAATTCCTGGAGCAGTTTCCAAAACCACTAATGTATGCCATGACTCCAAAAGAGATGGAGGAAATGAGACAATATATAGATAAAAATTTGGCGTGTGGATTTATTCAACCCGGGAAATCACATATAGCTGCCACTGTTTTGTTTCGCGAGAAAAAAGATGGTGGGTTACATCTTTGTGTTGATTTCTGCGGGCTCAATGTTATTTGTATATACAATGTATATCCTTTACCACTGATCAACAATTTGTTAGCAATGTTAGTGACTGGCAGGTATTTTACGAAATAGTACTTATGAGAAGCCTACTATAGAGTTCGAATACGAGAGGGGGATCAATGGAAAACTACTTTTAATTGCCCCCTTGGAAGTTTTCAGTTTAACGTTATGCCATTTGGGTTGCAAGGGGCACCCGCTGTCTTCATGCAACTTATAAATGAAGTATTATAAGAACATTTATATCATGGCGTTCTAGTATATTTAGATAATATTTTAATTTATACCAAAACAATGGAGGAACATGTGACCTTAGTGAGGAAAGTTCTGAAAAAATTACTTGCTGCCAAATTA